ATGGAGGCCATCCAATTCCGACCTCTTCGGATTATCATTAACCTCTAGAACTATGCCATCTAGGCTCTAGGTTAATAACGCCGAAGCCAAATCACTGAAAACTTTTGAATTTTTGGAAATGTGAGCTTCAAATATAACCGCATAGTTGGCAGTGGACGCCTTACAGAACCCTGTTATTGGCATTATGATTATTACTACTACTGCTGCCGTTACTACTGCTACTGCAACTGCAAATGCTACTACTACTACTACTACTACTACTACTACTACTACTACTACTACTACTACTACTACTACTACTACTACTACTACTACTACTACTACTACTACTACTACTACTACTACTACTACTACTACTACTACTACTACTAATACTACCATCGACACCGGCACCACCATCGCAATCGCTATCATCATTGTCCTCATGTCTTCTTGCTACTTTAAAATACCTTGTACGTTTTTAGGTTAGGCCTGCTGAATCTCCATTGACATTCGCCGTACTTGGCAGATGTCGTTTACTAATTACTTATTTTACAGTCTTTGATGGATCGGAACTTTCTGCTAAAAACGGGACAACCACATCCGGAAATCGTTTCTGCCAACCTTCTTAGGTATAGTTAAGTGAAGATATTTTCCTAGCGGTTGTGGAGGTGAAATTGTATTTTTGGCGGGAACATAAGTAAATTTATATCGCTTCCGAAAGGTACATCTTTCGCCATGGGGTCAGTCGGTCTGTTAATTCGGTCTTAATGAAAAGAAAACTGAGGGGTTTTTAGAGCCCGCTGTAGAGCTACGTTGATAGTGATTTAGACCCAAATTGTATACCGCCTCCAAATACATTCTCGCCAACCTTCCGCTTTGATTGGGGTGGGGGCGAGCATTAGCGTAAATCCGTTTCAGTCCGTCCGTTTTAAAAAAGCAAACGACCCTCAGAGTGTAAAAAGTATTACCTGGTTCCCTGCTGTGTCTTATTCCTGCCTGAACAAGTTGTGCGAAACCGGATGTGACAAAGCAGCCTACAAACTTGCAAGTCCTACGTTGTCAACTATGTGGCCTGGGCATTTGCACATGCAGGCATAGCCAGCCTGCGCCAACCTGATCCGACTTCTGAACATATTTTGTCCCTTCAGTCAACTTTCTAGTAGAGTCCAGTATCAAACCTTGCGCTCTCACAAAATATTTCCAGACACGTACGCCACACCTACAGTAGGTGGGCTAACTCATGAAATGTCAACCGAAATTCCGAAATGCGTTTCCGTTTCGAAAAGATTATATGAGTAGGGTTGTAAAACTCATAAGCCTACAACATAACTCTATAATAATTCAGTTACCCTAGGACGCCGGCTTTCGAACAAACGTCTCTACGGCTGCATTCAAAAATCATAGTGCATAAAGATGACTACTTAAGTAGAATACATGTTTTCCTTGATTTTCGATGTCCCTAAAGATTTAATTATATTTAATAGAAAACATCCTAATAATATTCACTCTTTTTGCTCCTTTGATAATAAATTACTGCTTCTTCCTATTCGATACTCAAAGAGAGGGTATAATTCGATTTTAAAAAAGTTTCTATTTGTGAGATTTTTTAATACCGTGAAATGGCCCTTCATAAAACGTCATGTCTCCGCATTTACCAGTGTGGCTTGCAAAGGTAATGATGTGGTTCGAATCCACCCGTTAATTTTATGAACCCCAAATGGTCTCCATTTGATACGGTAGAGAAATGTATGGTTTTCCGTACGCGGAAATTATACGGCTTGTAGTTTGGGAACCCTGAATTCAAGTGTGGGGGTAGGTCGGGTTCAAAATAATTCGGGAATTAGAAAAGTTTTATAAAACAAAATTATACCCTTCCTGCGAGCATAAAATTGGACGAAGACGTAAGTTTCTACTGAATCAGCAAACGAATTAGAGTTTCTATGAAATATAATTGACTCTTTAGGGGCATCGAAAATCAATGAAAAAAACGCATTCTACTTAAGTAATCATCTTTTACGGAGTATGGTTTTTGGAGGCATTTGTTCGAAAGCCGACGTTCTGGGGTAACTGAATTATTATAGAATTATGCTGCACGATGATTGGTTTTACAACCCTGTCTAGTTTATCTTTTTGAAACGGAAACGCCATTCGGGATTTCTGTTGAGATTTCATGAGTTAGTTCATTTACTGTATGCGATAACTGGTGACCTCCATGTCTCAAATTTATCGCAACAATAGGGGATAGTGGATCAGGTAGAAAATCAAATTAAAGTGAGCAAATATTACCAGCTGTACTGGGGATAATTCTCGGAGTGATTTGCCTTCAAATGTAGGTACATTCTGACCTGCTGAAATCCGCAAACGGTTGCTACTCAAGACGTTGATTTCAGTCAGGGAACCCTATTTGCCAAGAGAGCTGGCTTTTGATTCGACCGGATCTTATTTCGTAGCCGTACCTGCAGTTGACAAGTCCCACCCAAACCCCTAAGCCTAACGCAACCCCCTAACAGGTACGGCTACGAAATAAGATCCTGCCTTGGATTCCCCTTTGAACTGAAAAGACATTAGCAGATTGTCAACACTGACTTTTACTGATCAGTCCAGGATGGATTGGCGCATTTGGAAGACGATCCTTTCAAGAATGACATTCTATGCCCAATGAGGCATCGAACTATCTACTCTGACCGTGGGACGGAAAAGGGTCGTTAGGTTTTTCCTGGAAGCTCTGGGTCGCGGGCGGTGACATGACAACCAGCAGTCGGTAATCGCGAAGTGGATAGGGCACAGGGGGTATAGAACCCCTCGTATTACAGGTGGCTTCACGTCAAAGTCCAGGGGATTAGGGTTCTGAGGGTTCGTGTTAGTGTTAGTTAGGGGAGTCGGGGTTGTGTTTCGTACTATGGTTAGGGGTTTACGGGGGAATCCATACTTCACCCCCCACTCCTCCTGAACTCACTCCAAAACCACCTGTAGTAAGGCAGAGTCCGCGTTCGACGGTGAATCATTACCCACGCAGATAAGGAAAGTTGAAATGAATATTTCCAGCTTCCTTGTCAGCGACGTTTCTCTATAAATGTAAGAACCCATTCACTCCCAAATGAATCTCTTCCGTAGGCTACATTGTGAGCGTTCGTTCCAGACTTACAGTGACCATTTAAAGGTATACTTATTCGCATACTCTTGAGAGGGAACAACATCCACTTCAAGCAGACTATTTTTGAACGGTTTACGCCAGATCTGGAGCTTGTAATGCTTTCCCTCCCCCTCCCCCGATTATAGACTTTATTTAGAAGAGACTTTCGAGTGTTGAGATGACCTTAGTTCTTTTTCACTGTAGACAAAAAGGGAACTAGAGGGATTTAAAAAAAAGCATAAAATAATATCACTAGTACACATGTCACCTGTCGTGAAATCTATTTCCTTCTTCCAGATGTCAAGCTGGTACCAGCCGATGTGTGATAGACAAAGAACGTCGAAACCAGTGCCAGGCCTGTCGTTTAAGAAAGTGCTTCCAGATGGGCATGAACAAAGACGGTACGTTGAGATATTAAGTCCTTTTGGCATAAGTCGTTTCACAATTACCATTCCTGCCATTGAGATCAGGGTTGGATAGTGCTCGAGTATCTAGGAAGACTGGAACGTGGAAGTGTGTTTTAGTCGAGCACGTGTACTTTTTAAACTCAAAGTTCTGAATGCTCAACTTCCTACTTCCACAGAGCTTTACACAAGTTAGGGGTGATTTCTAAAACAAATGAGGAGGTCGTAACTATTTCCTGACATTTTATCGTCAGCTCTTATTTAAAATGGGATATTAATAGGAAGTAAACCGTTTAAAACACTTTCAGCAGTTCAAAACGAACGGCAGCCGAGAAGCGCCCCTCAGTATCGACTAAACACGACCACCTCGTCAAAAGAAGGCAAAGAGAAAATGAGAACCAGGGGTCATTGTCTTCTGCACCACAGTCAAGTGCGTGGGAGGGCTCCGGCTGATCTGCATATAACCAGCCGGGTACCTTCTCTGGTACATCCCAGTCCGAGTATCTCAGAGATCACTGAACAGTCGTGGTCAGAGCCAGCTGATCAGGAAGCGTCGCCACTGTTCACCAGCCTGTCGAGCCACCTTGGACAAGATGAACCCTGTCGCGTCAGTGGTGACGGTCTGCACTTTGACGATCCTGGAAAAGCTGCCCAAATGCCCGCCATCCTTAGTCTCGAGAGAAGCCACCTGGAGAGGTTCCTTTGGCAGTTTATTCCCGAACCGTCTGCAGTCTTCGAGTTTCTCAGGATGAGGAAAGACCCAAACGTAGCGACAATGGCAGTGCAGGCTGACCCAACAGCGCTTGAGACGGAGGGCACTCCTGAGGCGAAATTGAGACGAACTCAGCAGCAGCAGCAGCAGCAGCAGCAGCAGCAGCAGCAGCAGCAGCAGCAGCAGCAGCAGCAGCAGCAGCAGCAGCAGCAGCAGCAGCAGCAGCAGCAGCAGCAGCAGCAGCAGCAGCAGCAGCAGCAGCAGCAGCAGCAGCAGCAGCAGCAGCAACAGCAGCAGGAGGAAGAACTGCAACCAGAAAAGTGCCGCGCAAGCTCCCGACGATCGGCGTTGTGTTCCGGAGGAACCGGTACAACTGTCTATTTTCGAAGTCAACAGCCAAGGGGAACTACACAACTGTGGCCTCCTCCACAAAAACAGCAACAGCACCAGCTACCGGGATCGCGGCTGAACAGACACTCAATTAGCTCTCTTCTAGGAGAAGGTGAATTGCCCTGTTCTACGGACGTTATGGAGGAAGGAGGCGAGGAGGAGAGGCGCCTCGTGTCTCCGAGGTGTGAAAAGGGTTCCTTGGAAATGCAGAAGGTCGAGAACTTGATAATGCCACCTTCATTGAATGAGAGACACGATCATCTGCAATCCCCGTCTTTGATATGGGGTAAGTTAAAAAGACGAATTCATGTGGGTTTTACTCAGAGTGCAAAGTTATTAGACGTATGTATGGTCCCTTACTTTTTATCTAGAGTACAGGCTACCATTCCTATATTTCCCTGACAAACCAGCATTTACTGTCTCTTTTCAACTTGTGCCTCCATAGGCTAGCATTTAGTTTCAGCTGATCGAAGATGAAAAAGGAGAAAAAGAAGTAGAATTAAGTCGGAAAAACCAAGAGGAACCCTTCTTTGCGGGAACGAGGTCAGATACGGGAGTGTGGACACCCCGTACCAAAGGTGGGTCCGCGTTAGATTCCAAGAATACATATTCCTGCGTCCTAACTTTAGTCCCAACACTCCTAGTTCTGCCCATCCCAGTAATACTCACACCCGTTAACATTAACCACCCTCCTCTCAAGGAATTTACGTCAAGGCCACCTTTGTACAGGAGAGGGGCAGGGTCCATATTTCCGTGCGCACCCTAACAACGGCCTTTTTTGCGGATTTAGAAATAGCAAATATTAAACTGATAGATGGGCGCCACTTTCATTAGAGTATTCATAAAACAAGTGATAGTAAAGGCAACAGAAGTATGAATAGAGATCATGATAGAGTAGGCATGGTAGGAAGAGAGGAGGTTTCCAGATGGTGACAGTGATTTTCGAAATGGGCATGTTGGAGTGCTTCATGTTATGCCACTATATACGGCAATTTTTGGATAGTAAATGGATCAGTTTAAGGTGAGCACGATAACTGGCCCTAGGCTTGCGTTGGGAAAGAGTCACCAATAAAGATGGAAACTATTGGAATGACTTCCTGACCGTCTCCAGCTAGACACGCCTTAACATCAGTTAAGGCCGATTCGCAAGCATGCAAGAGGCCGTTGAGTTTCGTCAGTAAGAGTAAGTTACATTCCAACTATTAGTAGGGCACGGTTATGTGTACTCGAGTATTACTGGTGGCCTTGCGCCAAATTTCAGGGGTTAGAGTTAGGACTGAGGTTGGTGTCAGTGTTAGGGCTAGGAGTAGGAGGACTAACGTCGGGGGTTGGGCTAAAGTTAGGGCACCGAAAAATAGAAACCCGTCCGGGAAATTGGCGCAAGGTTACCTGTGATGGGGGCAAGTAGTCCTGTGTTCAACCTGAATATTTGACCGAATCTGCTAAATACAAAGTTGTGGTAGATAAATTAATGCAACGAAAAGTTACTTCGAATAAAATAGTAGAAATTTGAGATGAGAAGAAGGAAGTCCGACCGTGGGGTTTACTGTCCAGCGGTCTGGTTTCACTCACTGACCCATCCTCCAAGACGATGATAAACAGAACTGCTGTTTGTTTTTGGCAGTCCTTTTGGCTACATGTTCAAGTGATTTCGACTACTGCTCAGCGAAACTGAAGTTCAGCAGAATCTGTTCACTCGTTTGCTTGAACTTTTGGCAAGTTTTGCGTAATTGCCTGATATCAGTTAGGCCACTAGACTTGGTGACGTTCTAAGTATGAGCAAGGGTAAGCAAATACATACGTTATGGTAAAAGTGTCGGATTTTTGTCTGGTTAGTGCTGATAGGCAAACCAGTGCTGGTATAACTCGTGAATGAAGGAGAAAAATGACGCGTTAGTCACTGCATCCATGCGCATCACCAACTGCTTCCGTTTGGTCCTACAGCCAAAATGCCGTCAATGATATTGTCATTTTTTAATTTCCTCTGAAAGCAACTAAGAACTTGGAGTTTATTCAGTTTATTCAGGATCTATAGGCTCAGACGTAGATATTTATGTATAAATACTTGGGCCGAAGTCCATAAGCCATAGTCACAGAGGAGATTAAAAAGCAACAAATTCTAAATTGGAGCACCTACCAGAAAGCAGACAGGGAATGTTGGGGGACCCACTGACGAACCGAACTCCTCGCAGCTGCACCATGCAGCGGCAGAATATCGGCGAAACACGCGTGTATGGGCTTTTGTTTAGTACCTGTGCTGTGAGTATGGCATCACCTTACCCTAAAGAAAATGATATTCTTAGTCCGTAAGTTTCCTCCGCCTTACTTTTCTTCACGTACGCAGTTACTGTCCGCTCACGAAATGGGCGTGATTGTCGAGGCACAGCCAAATATCACATACATTCCACTTGTAAGTTTCCCCATCCGATTATCTGATGCCAATGTACATTGGGTAAGTGTGAATGATAGACCTGCATTCAATATATTCTGATTTTTTCAGACCTGCAAAAATCTTCATTTAGGGGTTTCTCGGAAGACTGGTAAGTTGATAACGATTTTTCTGCAAGTCACCATACTTGTAATACGCGAAATTGGAGTTAATCCTTCGGAACAGAACTTTTAAGGCACGGTCCGAAACTTCATATGAATATTTGAGCTGAAATCCATCAGCTACTTTGGAATAACTGCGTAATATTCACAGACCGCGAATAGGCAGCCAGTATACAGAATTTTGAAACTATTTATCGTACTGGCAACAAAGGTACAAGATAAAAGCCCAGACACGCTTGCTTCACCGATGTTCTGCAGCTGCATGACGCAGCCTCGAGGTGTTCGGATCATCAATGCGCCCCCCAGTCCTCCCCATGTGTTTTCTGGTATATAACCTCCAGTTTCCCCTTGCTTTGTTTAAATTCAGCAAGCTTTTCTACCTTTCAGGTCACTGTTCTTCCTGCCTTTGGCACAATAGTACTTTTGTCCAACTGTCCCCTCCGGACTTTACGGAAAATATATGCGACATTTTTCCTTTTTCGTCTGCTCACACCACATAAGTTTTGTCTTTATCACGCAGAGGAGGAGGATTTGCCGGAACAGATGTGGGCAGCGTGGGAACAGCAGATAACAGAACCAACTTCCGAGGACCCGGTAACCGGATATGCCCTGCAATCACTTAAGGAGACGCTGCGCGAAATTTTCGCCCTTCGTGCATTCACTGCCCTTGGCATCGAAGACAAGGTAGAAACACTAAAGCATCTTTTTGCATCATAAATGACTAAATTTTGTACCGCGATTTGCAAAATTAAATTATCTCACCGGCAATGAAAGGTCCGAGTTGAGTGATGGGTAGGTTAAGCCTCTCTCACTTATTCCCGTAGGTCATTTCGGCGGGGAGGTCAACCTCATGTAAACTGCTTCTTTAGATGTTTTTAGTTAACGGTCTGTGTTGCACTTGGGCAGTTTCAAACTCCTTCATCGTGGAGTAGAAGAGATTTTATGATAACGGATCTTGGAATGGAAAAAAACATATGACCAGAAGGTTTGTGTCCCAAGATGAAGTAGTACCACGAACCCGCACAACGACGACATCAGCTACACGCACAACCGCCGTAAACCGGAGATAGGGCACTTGACGTGTACTGGGTGAGGAGTGAGGTGGGGCCGGTGGCATGAACCCGTCTTGAGGCCCACATTATCCGAATATAAGAGTTCTTCAGTCCGGTTCAATCTAAAATATCTAACAAATCCTTAACTTTTTTCTGATTCTCTAGGTAGCCGCGTTGGACAATACTAGCAGCTAACTTAAGCTATAAGAAGTAGAATACCTAAATTAATTCACAGTAAGAAACATTTCGAGGGCGCATCGACCAAAGGTGTTTTAAAGTACTAGCCTATTATAAGCAGACAGTCATCCAATACCACTTGTCCCGATGCATTGCAATCTTGACATACCTCAGAGTTAAAAAAGGCATCCATTGTGTCCGCAGGAAGAAACCCATGCGGACACTGCTCAATCAAGGTATGTAGGCGCAAACCTAATTTGTATTAATCAGGCTGCTCCTTTTTGTTGAAGATCTACACCACTTGCAAATAAAAGTGTTTGCTCTCTCTATCTGGGTCGTGGAGAGTTATAGTGATATCCATAAGCACCCTTGCTGTTTACAAGATTTTAGAACTCTATTGGTGTTTTGCTATTTTGTCTTTATCTATGCTTGTGAATATTAATAGGTAACCATTTTAACTACGCGATGGAAGGACGTTTTCATGCTTGCTTTCCTGTCAAAAACCATTGAGTTCGGGGAGGAAGGGAGGGAGCCAAAGTCACCTTATCTAACAAACGTGGCATTGGTCGTCCTTCTTGAACAAATGCGAATCCTGCAGGTGAGCTACTAATAGTCAGACGATTCTGGATTTCCATTTCTCTGATATGAATTGGAACTTCACAGGCATAAAGAAGAGATCGCCATCTACCACGGATCATCTGTTTTTACCGCATTCTAGAACTTTTACCCCTTGTCCAGAATTAAAATACCAGATTTTATGGCATTGAAAAGCTGGACTCTGTAATGACTCGACGCACGATTAGACGCTAAATATACACGCATGCGTGTAAGTTAAGTGCAATAATTAATGATAATTCAAGTAATTTCAAGGAACCTAATAATCGCCCGAAGTCAGTACTTCTGTGCTGAGAACCATCTGTGCATTCTAGTGAACTGATTCAGATTGTCAGCTGGCCAGCCTTAAGAAGGATTTCTTGTACGGTATATGGAGCATAACGGAGACCGCTAATTTTCATGTGACAGAACGGGAAATCACACTGTTTCTGCCTCCGGTCGCCATGTTTACCAAGATTATACGTAAACGTTAACAGCAGAAACCTCGAGTACACTAATAACTATATCTTTAAACGAGCACAATAAATTAGGGAAAAACAGAAGGTATCAGGAAAAAGTTTCACTCAAAACAACTGTCCTACTTGCATTCGGTTACGGTACGGAGTCGAGTCAGTGCATGTTTAAACAACTATATGACCTGACTTATGAACAGTGGGGCGTGGAAGCAGAAGAATAAGTGAGATCATGTGTACTTTTAGATTTTCGTTTATTATAATGATAGCTGTCTTCAAAAAACTCCCAGATTTTCACTTACGCCAATTTTTAGCTCGATAGCAGCGAAATTTTCTTGGCAAAAATCATTTCGCTGTTCAACATCCCTCCTGCAAGGCTGGATAACCCATCAAAGGTCGAGGTTCACATGCGCCACGCCAAAAGAATGCTGCTGGATCACCAGATATACAATTATGCTGGACAGAGGACAAGGTGATTTGTTGTGATTTTCATCAAAATGCCTACTTTTCAGGAAGGGCCCTGGCTACCCTTCCATGTAGGTTGGCTTTATTTGTGGTCCCTACTACCTAAAGGCCTCCATCATTTAGAAGAGACCAAACCGCATACGTCACACAACAAAGGTATCAGGAAATCCTGCTTGGGCAGTCAATTTACCGTATCAGATTTGGCGGATTCCAGACGTTGCAGTAAGTTGGGCGGGTGACTTGACCCAAATGTGATTAAATTCGCGTCGTCCGCCGGGGTCTCGTAGCTCAAGTGATTAGAGCGTTGGCTGTACTAAAGCCTTCCCCTTACTGCGTGGGTTCGAATCCCACCGAGGCGCCAAGTTTTCCACAGTTGGGTCAATATGAAGTATCAGGCATAGTCTAAAGAAGAAGGCACGTTTCCCGGGAAAGGTTGTTTCGTGGTCTGACGTTGTGAGTGGGGACTTCGGTCACCAATCTTCAGAGCCCAAACCGCTGTTGGAAACCTCGGGTGATTTTTCATCTGGGAGTCACATTTTCACTAATATTTATTAAGTATGGTGCTAAAAACGGGATGGAAACAGGGAAATGTTTCAAGAGAATGGAAAGGAACTGCTACTTAAGTAAACTGAATGTGGTAAGGGTCTGGGAAAGAGTTATGAATTAGGTGTGTTGGTACGACAAAGTGAGAGGCGGTTATTTCGACCGGCTAATGCTCACCAAATCGGATCCGGGAAAACTTAGAGAGTGGAGGTTAAGTTTAAGCACATGAAATAGCCCCTTAAAATCGGAGTATCTCGGAAGCCATTTGTAAGGGGGAGCGAGGTCCTTTTTGGTGTCAGTGAACGACTGGGGCCAGGGGGAATCAAAATTTTTCGTACAGTGACAATAGACGTGCTAGCTGCAGGATGGGCATTAAAATAAATAAAAGGAAGCAAAACAAACAAACCAGATTAGACTTTGGGAAGGTGGACTGTGACTAAAGAAAGGATCTTGCACAAGAGACATTTTGTCGAGCCTCAGGCGGCGGGAGACAATGAGGTACTAGTTGAACAACCCAATAAGCGCAGTCATGAGCCCAAACAAGATTGTCCTCAAACACTGCCATCGGACCAGCACAACTCGTGAAGAAGCAGGCGCGAGAAATGTCCGCAAACAAAGGTTTGAAGAAAAGAACGCAAGGAAAACGTGAGGAGAAAGAGCAACAGCGTCGAAGACGCATCTGCCATTGGTTTGGAACTCTCATATGCCGGCCGATTCGGTGGGGCCTTGAGTATTATCGGCACCGAATCAGCCCTTGAAAAACTTAACCACTGTGGCTACTAAATGTGCGGCAAATGAGAGACTTTAAGGGGCATCATGCACCGAAGGAATAGCAAAATCTTCGGAGAGAAACTTTCAACATAAATTACCAATCTAGACAAAAGCGTGCTGTCCCGAATGAGGACTTAAGGGGCGACATTTTGGGTTGTGACAAGATTATACCACAAAACTCACTTCTCCGGAGTCATTTGCCCCTAAACCTAGCCACGCGGTAGATGCTCTAGACCAACATGGGAGCTACATCGTACTCTGGCAGACGTTACGGGGAATGCGCACCCAAAACAAAGGCCAACATTCGGGATGTTGTAATAGGTCTAGTCGCAGGCTCACGCTGAGCCGATTGGGATCCCTGCCGCCCCCATTTTTATTGTTGAAAATCCTGGTCAAGTATTTGTTGTGGACCAGGCGGTGTGGTGGTACGCACAGGTGCGGATTTAGGGCGTACCAAGCACCTTTGGCCTCTTTCGCTTCCGGTCTTCTTGGCTTGGTAATGACACCAGGTTCAGGTGGAGAAGGAGTGAGTGAGTCAGATGCTGAGCAAGTCCACTGTCGCTATAAAGTAATCCATACGCAAATCACCGTTCCTGCCCTTACTCTACTGTGGAGCACACGGTGGGGCACTGTCAGAATCGACGACTGAACTCTTGGGTATTCCAACGAAATGTAACCCACTGGTTGCCTCACAGTGCACATTTTAGTGGTTTATGCGGTCTGCGAGCTGAGAGCTGCTATTGAGTTCCATCGTTCTGTCTTACCGTGAGTGGGGATATTGAGGATTGGACTAGAAATGGCTTCTTCATGGAGAATAGGATTCCCTCGTATTTCGTTGCACCGATACGGGAGTCTAATGGAACTTACTTGTTTTTTAAATTTTAACTAGCTCATGGCAGCATGGACCGCAGTGATTGAATGGTTGGTGTATAGGAATGGCGGTATGGCAGCATTAAAACTGAGAGTTCACCTACTGACCCCGGAATGAGCGGAAGAGGACTGAATCAAATATAAATAGGCCTACATCAACCGGGTGGTTTTACTTAAAAACAGACCTTTGAGGTAAGGAAAAAGAAAACAAAAGGAGTAGGCCTGGCGACCAAACATCGCTGGAATCTGAGGAAGATGTATTTCTGAGAAATTTTGGTAATATGTGCTTTGGTAGCCCCATCTGATGTACACAATCCTGTTGGGGCTGGGGTTAAGGCTAAGGGCTATGGTTAGGGGTTATAGTTAGGGGGCGAGGGTTAGGGGTTAGGGTTAAAGATTAGGGTTAGAGTTTAGGATTTTGGAGTTCTGGATTAGGGTTTAGCGCAACTATTTCTCAACCATTGAAAGTACAACCACGCATTCCAAAGTACTTTTCTTTCGCATAAAACTAATTGACCTCGTCACCTGTGCGTTATTCGGCTCCACCCTAAAAACCCCTATTACCACCGGTCCCATATTAGAGGTGACTGGGGTTTTTTTTACTTCAGGTGGGGCTTTAAAACCACATCCGATCGACATTTCACGCAGAGAAGCGGGTAATCACAGTTGTCTAGCAGTATTTTTGCCTGAGATGTCGAAGGGCTCATTTCCAACAGCAGGTCTCCCGAATCTATGGGATGAGTGACTGCGCTTCTGTCTCATGACTGTTACA